CAGGAAAACAGGCAAGACTATGAAAACTAGGGCAGGCTCCTTAAAGTAGCTATCAAAGTGATAAACGCTAAACAGTACTCGGCATTGAATGGTGGTGTGAGACTGATTTATATAGTGTGTGTTATTGGTAGCAGCTGTGTGTGATTGGTTTCAGGTGAGCTTGTGATTAGTGCAATGGAGCATGGGAAATGTAGTCCAGGGTGATGTGTAACAGTCTGTGTAGTGTGTGAGTCCGTGTGGAGAGCGGGTGACCTCTGGTGGTGAGAGAACGGAAGTTTATAGACCGGATTCGTGACACTTACTACATTACTACTTAATGCAAGCCTTGTAAAATAACTGGAATAACATGAAAACTATGAATTGTCTTGTTAGAGCTGCTTTACAGCAGAATATTAATTAGTCTCATATTTGATAAAGTTTGCATCTTTGGTTATTTTCCTATTTATTACTGTAAAGCAGATTTGAAACTGAAAACCTGTTCTATAAAGCGCTATATAAATGAAGGTGACTTGACTTGACTGAAGTGTTTACACAAAGACTTTTCAGTCCGATTAAGCCATCAGTCTGACAATTTGGATTTTTTTGGTTGCATTTAAACTGTAGAAAGAGTCACCACAAACAAAGACAAGCACAGTGACAAAAACAGTGAGATCTTATAGTGCCGTTATGTTTTAAATCGGCATGAAACGGAAGTTGTGCTTGTCTTTTATTCCCTATTGTGACGTATGTTCGAATGAAACAGCTTCTCGAATGAGAAAACATTGGGTGGGATTTGATTTTATCCATCAGGAACTGATTGGACCACTGGATCGTTGTTTTCTGTTGTTGCAGTCTCATGTGAGTGACAGGTTGCTTGAGGTGAGGAATGCTGCTCAGCCAGTCAAATTTGTGGAATTAACTTTGTAGAAGATAACAACTTTTTTTTTTGTAAGCTGGTTTCTTATTTGCTAGACATATTTTACACAGAACAACTCACTGGAGGGTTTGAAATAAAATCTCAAGTAAATCGGACATAATTAGTTATAAATAAGCTCGCATGTCACATTAAAGAGTGGAGTCTGATTGCTTGCAGAGCTCCTTTGTCAGTGCATCGTACAGTTTCCTGGAAAGTAAACTTTGGACAGATCTTCTAAATTACTGTCAAAATTACATTTCTGATAATGCCTTCAATACAGCCAAATTACACCACAATCTGTAAGCTTTTCAAATATTGACAAACCTCAGTTTTACTAAGAAATAGCCTTAAATTATTTTGTATACATACAGTAAGTCATTTCTAATTGTGATTTTATGTGTGTGATATGATCTGTCCAAAGTTCACTTTCCAGGCAACTGTACAATACACTGGCAAAGGAGCTCTGCAAGCAATCAGATTCCACTCTTTAATGTGGCATAAACTTTTTTTTATATATATACACTGTATATATAAATATCACTGTGGCCCTCATGATGCCTGGAACTGAAACTACATCAAAATCAACAGATTTCCACCAATGTTACACTTTTCCTGCTAGTTCTGTCAGGGCCACTATCGTCAAAGATGATTGACAATTAGCATACAGTTTGGATTGGCGGTATGGTTCCGTTCTGGGCAAGAACTCCCTGCGCCTCCATGCAGCCTAGCATGGATGAGAGCAGGGAGAGCAGCAATAACCCCCCAGGGTAAACAGAACAGAACTAACATAAATGTATTGCAGATATTGTTAAGTTCAATCATTTTATGTACACATTTTAGAATTAGTCTGATTCAAGGAGAATCAGAAGGCTGAATCCCGACTGACAGAGGAGGAGTTGGGGATGGAGGAGGGTAATTAGCTATTGAGCAATGCGAAAACTGCTGATAATACTGAGGGACCTTATATATGAATGCTTAGATAGGTGTCGTATTCCCATATGTAGATGGGGATCAGCTGAGAGTCAGCTGATGCGAGCTTGACTAACGTGACCTACCAGAACTAACGCTACGCTTGATTTCTCCATTTCATTTCGAGGTGTTTTACTATTTGTATTGGGCTCTTTGTGTTGATACAGCGGGTGCAGTTGACCACTGAATCATTCTAGATGAGGGCAAGGCCAGAAGAATGGTGAATATTATGTTTTAGTCTTCCTTGAAGCATGGGTGGGGAGAAAGAAGACTTGAGAACAAAACATAGAGCATGTGGTCAGGACTGTAAGAAGATATACTGTAGGGTAGACCGTCCCGTATGTTCAATTCCAAATTCTTACTGCTGGCTGAACCGTTTTAAACTGTCCAGCAAGACATATCGGACTGTTCAAACAGCTTATCTTGAAGACCTATTAGGTACATAACTGAAATGCAAATGCTTATCCAATATGGCCTAGTACAAGCAGCTGAGCTCTGTGCAGATGTCAAGCGTAATTGTTTTGACATGGGTAGTGCTATTTCTTTATCAGATTGAAGTTTTAGTTGCCTTTACCAAAATGTGGCTTCAACTCTTTATATTCACCACTTAGAAAAAAAATATGGAGGGCTGTTTCTGCTTTAGGGAGGGGGGGGGATAAATAAATAAATGGTAATGGTCACATCTTTCTATTAACAACATCATCTCAATGTTGTTATTTTTAACTCAAACTAAAAATAATAAAACGTTTTTGTTAATTGAAATAAAGATAAAATTAAAGAAAATATAAATATTGCCTTATATTGCCTTGGCAACTAACTGAATAAAATTACTTTAGGTTGAAGTACTAAAATTACTAAAACTCAATCTGAAATAAAAAATGAATTAAAGCTAAACAGAAATATTAAAAAATATATATAAAATGAAAAAAAAAAAAACTAAAACTTTACAATTAAAATGAAATCTGAAGGACCAAGAATAAGTTAACTCAAAATTAGTGCTGTCAAATGATTAATCGCGATTAATCGCATCCAAAATAAAAGTTTTTGTTTACATAATATATATGTGTGTGTGTACTGTGCATATTTATTATCTATATATAAGTACACACACATACAGTATATATTTTGAAAATATTTACATGTATATATTTATATTCATAGAATTTATATTATATATAAATATATTTAATATATAAACATAACATATTTTTCTGAAATATATAATACATGCATGTGTGTG